GGGTCAGAACCCAGTTGAGGGTAATTCCCAGTGTGAAAGACCTTATGTTTTTGTGTTCAACTTTCCTGGAAAGAAGTATCTTCCTTCTCTGGTATTTTCAGCAGAAAAAGCGTAGAATCTCAATCTGATCTATATAAGCAAGCATACCACATCTGTCACCGCAGGCTTTTGAATCAACCAAGGACCCAAAACCTTGATCAGATCTGACTTCAGAGGAATTCCTTTGCTGCAAGCACCCTTTACTTTCTGCTTCTCCACAGTAAAAAAAGGAAGGAAGGGATGTGGGAGGAGGCTGAGAGTGATGTCTATTTACGAACAAGGTATCTTGGAAAGAAGGAGATGAGAGATGTGACAGTTATCTTTGCTGTCTCTGGGCTTAAGATAAAGAGAGGACTCATGTCTGTGGCTGTTAGCTCAATATTTTCTACACGGTGCTATTATTCAGCTATGGTTAGCTTCTAGTACTGATGGACACCATCGTAGCACGTTTCTGTAGTTTCGCAAACCACACACCGTGTTCACATCGGCTTGAGAGGGAACTGCTGCCCGTGTGACATTTCCAGAGAGCTCTTGGGGACCCAGAAGTGAAAGGTCCCCAAATCACTCAGAGTGTTATGCCTTTGGTATTCACAACCTGGGTTACTCACACATGAAACCATGTGATCTTGTCTTCCTGGAAGAAAGGTCCGGTTATTGCCAGATCTGATGTTGAGCACTTCCTGCCGTGGTGTGTCACACATTCACACCCAGCATGGCTGCGAAAGCAGCGCTAACTGCTTGCCAGCTCGAAAGCTGTCAACATTTTCACAAGGGGGAATGGAAAGATACTGCACCAGCAGAATGGTCCTCAGGGGCAGAGCAGGATGACCTCTAACTTTGCTTTCTCTTTTAGGTAGCCAAGTCCCTTGGGGAAGGGAGTAGGAAGGAGAGCTGAAGGTATATTGGTCACAGCAAAGTCACTTGGTCACTATGGGTCACTTAGTCTCCTGTTTAGAAAAGCTGTTAATCCTTTCCCCCCACCCCAAAAGACAGAAAAACACTGTAGATTCCTTAATATTTCATTTATTTACAAAGAGGCAAACCTTTTCTTTTGTACTTATCTTAGCAGCAAGAGGTACTCAGGAAAAGTACAGGGATGTCCTTAGGCCATGAAGAGAGAAAATTAGAAAGGAGAAAGCCCAGCTAGAACTCAATCTAGCCGCCATCATAAAAGAGTTTTAAAAAACGTTTTTACAAATATATTAATAACAAAAAGAAGGTCAGGGAGAATCTCCATCCTTTATTTGACTTGCAGGGGGAACATTGCCACCAAGGATGAGACTAAGCTATTTAATGCCTTCTTTGCCTCAGTCTTTAACAGAAAGACCAGTTGTCCTCAGAGTACCCAGCTCCCCTGAACTGGAAGACAGAGATGGGGAGCAGAATAAATCCCCTTTAATCCAGGAGGAAGTAGTTAGTTACCTGCTGTATCACTTAGACACTCCCAAGTCTATGGGGCTGGATGGGATTCACCCAAGGGTATTGAGGGAGCTGGTGGAAGAGCTCACCAAGCCACTCTCCTCATTTACGAGCAGTCCTGGCTAACCAGGTAAGTTCCAGGTGACTGGAGGTTAGCCAATGTGACACCCATCTACAAGAAGGACCATGGGAAGGTCATGGACCAGATCACCTTGAGTGCCATCACACAGCACATGCAGGACAACCAGGGCATCAGGCCCAGCCACCATGGGTTTATAAAATGCAGGTCCTGCTTGACCAGCCTGATTTCCTTCTGTGACAAGGTGACCCACTTAGTGCATGAGGGAAAGGCTGTGGATGTTGTCTACCTAAACAATAGTAAAGCCTTTGACACTGTCTCCCACAGCATTCTCCTGGAGAAACTGACAGCCCATGGTGTGAATAGGTGTACTCTTTGCTGGGTGAAGAACTGGCTGGCTCACTGAGCCCAAAGAGTTGTGGTGAATTGAGTTAAATCCAGTTGGCAGCCAGTCCCAAGTGGTGTTCCCCAGGGCTCAGTATTGGGGCCAGTCCTGTTTAGTATCTTTATTGATGACCTAGTTGAGGGGATCAAGGGCTCTCTCAGTCAGTTTGCAGATGACACTGAGTTGGGTGGGAGTGTTGATCTATTGGATGATATGAAGGCTCTGCAGTGGGATCTGGACAGGCTGGATTGATGGGCTGATGTCAATTGTATGAGGTTCAACAAGGTGAAGTGCTGAGTCCTGTATTTGGGTCACAACAACCTCAGACAGTGTTACAGGCTCAGGGCAGAGTGCCTGGAAAGCTGCCCGGCAGAAAGGATCTGGGGGTGTTGGTCAATAGTTGGCTGAACATGAGCTGGCAGTGTGCCCAGGTGGCCAAGAAGGCCAATGGCATCCTGGCTTGTATCAGAAATAGTGTGGTCAGCAGGACCAGGCGAGGGATTGTCCCTCTGTACATGGCACTGGTGAGGCTGTACCTCAAATCTGGTGTCCAGTTCTGGGCCCCTCATTACAAGAAAGACATTGAGGTACTGCAGCATGTTCAGAGAAGGGCAATGGAGCTCATGAAGGGTCTGAAGCACAACTCCTGTGAGTGACCTGGGGATGTTTTGACCAGAGAAAAGAAGGCTCAGGGGAGACCTTACCGCTCTCTACAACTACCTGAAAGGAGGTTGTGGTGAGGTGGAGGCTTCTTACCTTCTCCCAAGTAACAAGTGATAGGTCAGAGGAAATGGCCTCAAGTTGTGCCAGCGGAAGTTCAAGTTGGATATTAGGGAAAATTTCTTAACTGAAAAAGTGGTTAAGCATTGGAACAGGCTCCCTAGGGAAGTGGTGGAGTCACTATCTTTGGAAGTGTTCAGAAAACAAATACTTTGCAATATGGTTTAGTGGGTAAAGTAGTATTTGGTTGAAGATTGGACTTCATGATCTTGGAGGCCTTTTCCAACCTTAATGATTCTATGATTCTATGAATAAAAAATATCTGCATTGGGACAAGATGCCCATCCGTACGACTAGGATCCTTGGCCCATGTAGGATGGCAAATTGCCCATCAGGATCAAGGGATGAAGTGCCTCTTTTTGAAGTCCATCTCTGAAGATTCTCAAAGCGTAGAGAACATCTGGGAAAACCTTGTGCTTCCTTCTCTGGGAAGCTGTGAGTTCTTAACTTGTTGTCTCCTGGAGACAATGGAGCAGTCCATGTCTTGAAACAGGCAATGAAGAAGCTGATGAGGGGAGAGGTATAGCTCCCCCAGCTGTCTCAGCTCCTGGTAGGATCAACTCCTTTGATCAGCTCTTTTGAGGTGAAATCCAAGCCGGTAGGTGACCCTGTAGCTGTGACTCATGATGACATTCAGGATGCATAATGCAAGGTCAGGTAGCAGTGCAGGCCCAGGGGAAAGGGGAATCTTGATGCCTGTACAGACAGGGATGGGAAAGAATTAGTTCTAGTTGATCCTCACAGGTGTGGCAGAAGTACTAAGAAGTCTGATATCCTTGAGCTTTTTGGTCTAAAAACTCTCAGAAGAGTTTTTAAGAGCTAAGAAGAACTCTTAGCACAGGGCTGGTATTTTCCCACTGCTGAAAAATCCAGAAATATGGCAAGAAAGTGGAGAGATGGTACAGATGTTGAATGCAGGGATCAATGTAACCAGAACAACTTGCCTTCCTTTGCCTTGCCACTTTTCTTCTGTGGTGTGCTTCTTTTTCTCAATCCAAATCAGCAAACGTAGAGGAAAAAGAAGCAACAAAGTCTGTGCTATCTCCATTCTTTGTGAGTGGATTGAGGTTTTCTTTTCAGCAAAGGTGCTGATTTGTGGGCTAGTTTTTCTGGGCTCATTCGCCACATCTTTGCTGCTAACTAGGCAATAGTTTCTTTTGAGCAATGGAAGGAATGGGCAGCACCGTCGTGATGTTTTCCACTAATACAGGATGTGGGATGAACTATTCTGCAATCAGCTTGTCATAGTCAAATAACTGTAGTCTGAAGCAGGGCAGAGAGGCTTTCGATTTCATGAAAAATATTTCAGCAAGACTGAGAAATTGTGTGTGTTCTGCCATCAGCAGAGCTGGAGGAAAGAAGGAGGGGGAGGGGATTTCCCCAGTATTTTTAACCCAATAATGGGGATTTCTTTTTTTACACTGCACTGCTTAGACAGCTGACATAGTTGTGGCTCTGAGCTGACTCTAGAGACTCAAGTCTAAAGCTGGACCGGGTTGCTTTGAATGCAATCTCTGACTAAAACCTGAAGTGGGGATATCACAGAGAAAAATCACACCCTTGGTCAGCCAGGAGGAGATGTCTTCACCCATTTCATCATCAGCCACAGCACTGACCAGCAGTGCTATTGTCATATCCACCTCTTCAGGCACTTCTCCCTCCCATTAGAGGTTTTTAGGCCAGGACAAGGCAAATAGACCATGTGCCTGCTCAATCTCAATGCTGAGTGCAGCAAGATGCAGAACATGGAAATGCTGGCACAGCCTCCTACTGGGAGCTGGGAAGGGACAAACAAGCTGATGAACTTTGGGATGTCACTTGAGCAGTGTGGGAAGGAGTTTCTATGCCATCAGAGCCAGTAATAGCAGCAAAACAGGTTCAGTTATGAAGGTGAGTTGTTGCTGGCCAGTATGCCTAAGAATCAGGCTTCTATGCCTCTATGACCTGTGTAGCCACTGAATAGCTTTAATATGCCTTCATCATTCTCCATGCCTTATTTTACTGTCCACTTGCCCAGTTCTCCATGCAAAATGTTTACTCATTTCCAGGAGTCAGTTTCACTAATGCTGTACCTCAGGAACTAGTGCTACTCATATAACCATCCTTGAATTTACACCTTGTCCATCCTATTCGTTTTCTGTTTTTTCAACCCTCAACAGTAACTGTGTTCTCCAACCTCATTAACAAGCAGTGCCAAGGGGTTTGATGCTGAAGTCATGTTATGAATCGAAGAACTGTCCATCTAGCCTTCCCTGCAGAGGTGGACTTGCCCACCTCTGGGTTTCCTCCAGGCAGATCCTAGACAGAGCAATGGCTGTACTGGCTTTGGAGGTCTCTCAGAGAAAGGTAGGCACCAGTGTTTGGGATTTGGCTGGAGAAGGCTGTTTTGCATGGATCCTCATCCTGTCTTGGCCTTGTAGGTGAAGGCTGGGAGAAAGAAGAGGTAGCATTTGCTGCTGGAGTGCAGGGATCAGTCAGGGGGTCTGCCTTCTCACTCCCCTCCATTACATCAATAGTATTGCTGGCATGCAGGTCTGGAAGGTCAGGAAAGTCAGTGTCCAGCTGGCACAGGGCCTCAGGAGGTTGTGAAACTGCTTTGTCCATCACTTTCTCATTCTGCTTCAGAGCTGGTGTTTGTGAGGTGCCTTCACTTGACTGGAGAGCCCCAGAAATAGCCATGGCACGCTGGGCTTCACCTGTCTCTTCCATGAAGGAGCTGTTCTGGAAGCTCTGGGTTGCCTTGATACAGTGAAAAACATTGGGGGCCAACATGGTCATGTCCTGTGCCAGTGTGCAGAGGTCTGGGGAGGGGAGAGCATGGTAAGACTCGTGATCCTTGTTGCCACTGCCTTCCTGGGTGAATGGCTCGTAGGTGAAGTAGACCTGACAGGGCTCAATCTCAAAGGAGTTAGGAAGGTGAAAGAAGAAGTAGCCTTGGTTGGTGAAGCAGCTGGATACAGAGTGCACACTGGTTTCTGTGGGAGGATCAGCAGTCAGGCTTCCCTTGGAAAGGAGAAACTGGGAATCCTGGTCATTCTTCTGCATCACCTCGAGCATGGAGATCTCGGGGACTGTGCTGTTCACACAGTAGGAAGATGTGGAGAATGGGGAGGAGAGCCATTTCTGATGGGAAGAAACACAGAAGAGAGAGAGACTGTGAGACCCAAAGTATAGCACTCAGTGAGGAACCAAAGATTTCTTCTGTGTGACCACAGCAATTAAATGACCCCTTCTCTGTCTAAGCAAGAGTTACCAGAGGTGATGGGGAGGGAAATTCACATTCATGATGTCTCATCTGGGGGATTTTCAGAGACAGTATTTCTTTCTGCCACTTTGAAATCAAGAGTAGATCTCTTAAGTCTCTGTTTTGAGATTTCTGGAGCAGGGAATGGAAGATCACAGAATGTTCATAGACATAGATGGAGAATTAAAGTGAAAGGAAGGATAAAACTTAAAAGACCATAAGATGAAGTGAGAATGAAAACATGAAAAATAGTACTGAGATGCATCTCATGCAATCTATTCCTAGGTGCTGAACCAGTTTCTGATACATCTACGCAGCCATATGCAGATTTCTTATCTAAAGTGCTCTTCCAGGCCCCTTGTGCCTAATTTCCACATTCATTCAGCCACATCCTGCAGTGCATCATTATCCTTAAAAATAAACTGGGTTTGATGACATCCAGCTTCATTGTCTTTATGGGCTGTAAAGCCAATTTTCCAAGCTCTTTCTGCACTGATATAGTGTCTTCTGTGCCTGCTGCCACTCCCATCCCCCTACTCTGCACTGTAGTTTAAGGCTTTTTGCACTTAGGCTTTTCCAAAGCTTTGCTCTCTCTGGACCTCCCTCCCTTCTGAAAGCAAGATGCCCCCTGGGATCACCTCCCACATATTGTATCTGACACTCCCTTTAATACTGCACAGAATGGTAATTGTCTCCTTGCAGCTGCCCATACTCAGAGAGCACTCCCATCCCCCTACTCTGCACTGTAGTTTAAGGCTTTTTGCACTTAGGCTTTTCCAAAGCTTTGCTCTCTCTGGACCTCCCTCCCTTCTGAAAGCAAGATGCCCCCTGGGATCACCTCCCACATATTGTATCTGACACTCCCTTTAATACTGCACAGAATGGTAATTGTCTCCTTGCAGCTGCCCATACTCAGAGAGAGGA